GGGTAAGTATGTGAAGTGTCAATTTGACCAAAAAATTATTTGAGATATACTTAATATTTGGCAAAATAAAACATTTGTTATATAAACATTTGCCAAGTAAAATTTTGCCATATTATGATAATAATTTTACCAAATGAATCTGTTTTCATCTACCAAAATGTAGCATTTATAAATTCGCGCATGCCTTGATTAAATCTTGCCTCTTAGAAGCCAAGATCTGTCGATGCCGTCTTCTCTAAGGGCAGTATTCAGTTCTTCATTGTGTCTACCTATACAATTCGATATTATAAATTCATTTTCTTACATGTTCGCTGTAAGTAACTAAAAACAAAAATTACAATTTAAAAAAAGTAGCTCACTTAGGGTCAAATGGGCGAACTTGTATTCTTAAAATGACCTTACCTATACACCCACGAAGTTTGTCTAACCTTCCGCCAAACATCCTGTGTGCATAAATCATGTTATGTAACTACATAATAATCTTCTCAGAAATAAAATAAAAAAACTAAAACCCAACTACGACAAAAAACGCTGAAAAAGTGTAAAACAAGATTTTCAGAATACCTACTGAACTGAACAGTAGTTGCACAGTAATTTTCATGTTTGGAAGTCACACGTTGTCAAAGTGCTACGGTAGGTATATGTATCGTGTGACTACGCCTTATATGAAGTTCAAGTAAAGCGCTTTCAACTGATACCAAACACGGCATATTTATCTTAACTTTATATTTTTACTCTACCTACTCTGTATGTTTTGTCCGCCAGAGGGCGCCACATTAGATTTTGTGAAACCCCATAATAGCCTATAAACCAGCGGACAATTAAGATGCTTTAATGATAATGTCATTCGTCGAATTCTGTTATGTAGTTTAGAAGTTACGAGGGAACAGATGAACATACATACATCATAGCCTGTCAAAATCATAACCCTCCTTTTGCTTTGCCGTAGTCGGGTAATAAGCATTCTTCATATTTATTTAAAGTAGACAACATGATCATTTAATTTTCGGCTTCACCTCTACTGTTTGGACACCCTGTATAGGTAATACAAATATATTTTTCACGTTGAGTGTCCAATTTCGGTTATATTGAGATTCTGCTATTTTGATAATCTAATATTTTAAGAATCTGATATTTTGAGAATCTGATATTATGCGAATAAAGGGATCCAAAATAGGTTGTAGGTATGAGTACTGTTTACACACCTGGAAATATGTGTTAATTAAAGCTACAATTAAAATACAGCATACTTAAGTAATGTTGCATGAATCATTGTGTCCCATTTCGTTGTTTTCTAAGAAGTATTTTTGCAAAATACGCTCCATTCTAGCCTCTACACTGACGAGCTGTTGAGAAAGCACAAGCAGTCGCTGACGGAGATGATCCGGCGCGACCGCAACCACCCCAGCGTCATCATGTGGTCCGTCGCCAACGAGCCCCAGCAGTGTGGCAGCAACAAGAACTGCGATTACTACTATAGGTACATACTGAAAACCATTTTGATTGTCACTGCACTTCACTGCAGCCTCTAGATCTAGATCTACCCCGGTGAATAGGTATGGTCTTAACTGATTGAGTTGTAACGCGATATAGTTCTTAGCAGACTGCATCTAAAAGCCTTGTCCAGGTTTAATTGACATGACCAAAATATTACCCATTCAAGCTTTAAAGCTATTATCATTCTAAATTTCTTATTTAATTCAAGCACTAGGATTGAGGAGATGTCTATTCCAATTTTTGATACACGGATTATTCAGAAAACTGTTTTTATTTTTCAGCCAAATTGTTGGTCACGTGAAAGAACTCGACCGGTCCAGAGCAGTTACGTTTGCACTCGCAGACCCGAACGACCAAATAGTAAGAAACAATATTTTATTTTTGCGTCTCCGAGTCCTTGGACCTTTGTAAGTCCTTTCGATTCTCTGCTGTGGTTCCCAATTTTAGTTGGGGAATTACAATATTTTTTAAAAGACAACTTCGAATGCACTAATGGAACCAGGGCAATCAAGTGTTCAGACAAAATTTCATCGAGTCACATCTGTGAATTATCAACTGAACACGATCTATCTTTTTTCTAACCAGGGAAAATTCATGGACGTGATCAGTTTCAACCGATACAACGGTTGGTACGCAGAAACTGGATCGCTCCTGCACATCACGCAAAGAGTGATGAACGAAAGCACGCAGTGGCATCTCAAGTACAACAAGCCGGTCCTTATGTCCGAGTACGGTGCTGACACCATCGCGGGAATGCACACCGTAAGTAGACAATGATGTGTTTTGTTAAGTCACAATCTTTTCGTTATGGTGGTACCTAGGTATAGCAAATCGAACTCGTATTTTCCCTGAATTTATTGTGATGCCAACAAAAGAGCAAGATCTTTTTTTTTTTGCTTTACCGACAATCAATGTGACAAATAGTTAAGGACCTTTATGATATTTCAAAGCAAGAAAAAATTACCATGTTATTTCTTTTTTCCAGAAACCTGAGTTCGTCTTTTCGGAAGACTACCAAGTGGCGCTTATGTCTGAACATTTCAAGGCATTCGACAAATTGCGACAAGAAGGATTTTTCATGGGTGAATTCATATGGAATTTTGCTGACTTCGCAACCAGACAAGGTACGTAATGGGACAACCTCGTTCATATGACCAAGGCATATTGATGATAAATAAATGCTTTTTAGAAAAAAAAACAAGCTTTAGTAGGTAAAAGCTTACAACAAGTTTTTGGGCATGCGTTCTGAATAAAATCCTCCATACAATCCATGCACAGGAATCAGCTAGCAGCTGTCCTTTCCTTTCCAGCACCCTTTCCTTGTAGAAAATTGCGAGAAACTCTAATTTACTCCCTCTAAGAAATCTCTTTCCTGGGCAAATCGAATCCGAATGAAAACTAGGTAAAAATACCAGCTTGGAAAATCAGTCTTCCTCAAAACACTATTCTTTCAGGTATAACCCGAGTAGGAGGCAACAAGAAGGGTATATTCACGCGCGCGCGCCAGCCCAAAGCGAGCGCGCACCACCTACGCGCGCGTTACCTCGCGCTCGCCGCCGCCGACGCGGGCGCTCAACCGCCGCCGCCGGAATACTACGTCGCCGACCACGCCCCCGCCTACCACGAAGAACTTTAAACGTAGTTTATTTATAATTTTCAAACTTTAAACGTTTCTATAGAGACGCATAGTTGTTCTGCTCTCGGGAACATTGGGGAATATTGCCGGCAACGCTCCTTAATATTTCTTGTCACAGGGAAAATTTCGTCGTGACCGATTCCGGAATTATTTCCCGATGTTAACTGTTTCGGGAACGCGAACGGTAACGTACGTCTACACAGGAATTAGTTTCTTAATATTTTTCCGTTGACTCAGATGTATCAAGAGATGGCGCTGCCTGTTCAATAGATTTCGGTGACGCGAATAACGCATTTCTGGTTATTAAAAATGTTGAGGGACTAAATCCTGTGTCCTACATGTGACATCTGTTAGATAATAAACGGAGAGAAGAAGAGATCGATTACTGTGGAAGATTATTATTTGAGATATTAACTCCGAACGAAGGTATTTAATGTGTCGCAATGAACCCGCCTACCACGAAGTACTTTAGTCATTTAGATATATCGATCGTGTGACTTGACTGTGTTAATTTAAATAAAGGATGAATAAATTGACCACTAAATGAAAAATAACAAGTGATTACCACAACAAGACAAAACGTCCAACACCCACGATTTAAGCTGTGCGCACTTTAGCACATAAAAAAGACAAGACTACATGAATTTATTGCACAAAGAAAAACAAAATCTTCCACTAAAATTATAAGTTACTCGAACTAAGTAAGCACGATAAATTACTACAAATTACAATTATACATTGTATCATTTGCATACAAATCGACTCTCCTTTTTTCATACCTAACGACTTGGCCATGCATGTACAATAGTGAAATTAAAATAGTTGTTTGTGTAACAACGCTAGAAGTACACCAAATTATATTAGGTAGATTAAATTATCTTAAATTTTAATATAAGCGATGTGCCTCTTCAATATCTAGTATTATATTATCTGTGTCAATATATTAAAAAATATTAATATAGAAGTACATTATTATGTACAGTCACATCAAAAATATCTTTACAGCTATCTACGCCCTATGATGGTAGATGATGTAGGTACTTTATATTTTGAGCACTTACACTGTTAAGATATTTTTGATGTCAACTGTACTGTACCTACTAAATTGATGAAATCATTTTTTCTTTGGCGAACATGAACATGGTTTTTATAGTGCAACTGAGTAAGCACTTCGTTTTTAACAGTATTACTTACCACAATGATCTTGTTTGATTTGATACCACTTTTCTCAGATTCAAACTTACACCTTCGGCACCCAGAGTGTTACTTACACCCGTTTAGATTTTTTACAAAGTACAATTTCTAATAACATGCTGTAATTTGTATGTGTTACGAGTTATGATGATGAATGTTAATCTGAAAAGATTGAAAATAGTGCTATGTAATGATAAGTAATAAAATAAAAAACACACAAAACACATTAAAAAACTTTGTTTTACTACCTAGTACCTACCCTCCCACCCCCACCCGTTTCGGCGTCAGTTTATGAAAAACCGACTAGGTACATATTTGGTTTAACGCTCAATATTAACGCCAACCATCAAAATTATTCATCAAGCAAATATAAAGGGACACAAAAGCACAGAACTTGAAGACCCAGTACAGCCACCAAGGCAACTTCGAGAACATGCTTTATATGTAGTTGTATTCGTTGAACTACCCACACGCTTGTCACGTGATAATAGGACTGTAAATATAATATTTAAGACATAATTAAATAAAAGCTGGATTATTATTGGCCTCCGGCTTATCTCTCGTGCTAGTCTACGATGGTGCTAGTATGAATCACAGGTTTGAATGAAGCAGTAACGATACGATATACAACCTATCAACGTGTAGGCTGTATAAAATTGCGTCGTTGCCTCTCTTTACTCGTCTGTCAATGTCATCACGTCTTGTCATTACTGTCATTATCACATGGTAGCAATTTGTTTGTCATTTTGTGCAAGTGTAAATAAAAATCTGTGTTTTCTTCTCCTGTTGTTATTTTGTTAGGTACTATAAGTGCACAAAATGAATGCCTGTATCCAATGCAATGAAGCTTCTTCGTATAAATGTCCAATTTGCAGAAAGCCATAGTAAGTATTATCAGTTTTAATACAAAAGTTTAACATCGAAAACACGAGTTAACTAACAAAAATATCTATTTTAGTTGTTCAGTAGCATGCTGCAAGCTTCACCGAGCGACCCCGTGCACGGCACCCGAAATACCAAAGGTGGAACCGCCTAAGGAACCCATGACCTTCGATTTCCCAACTGAAGACACTGTACCAATAGAGAAATTGGAACTACTTAGTGAGTATCACGAACAGAGCCCATGAGTTTTACATACTTTAAATATTTAATTTGGTGTATTATAAGAACAAACCACAGGCACTGACTCAGTTAAACGCTAGGCCTGTAGCACTTCAAACAAAAAATTGCACCATTAATATGCAATGATTGTAGCGTTTCGCTTGATCAACAAATTTTAATATACAGGTGTACATAACCAACTTCTCCTTTTCACAGAACAATCATCAGAAGTGAAAGCATGTTTAGACAATCCACATGTCAGAACAATACTGGAGCTCCTTGATAAGTCGCCACATCCAGATCAACTAATACAAGAGTACATGCAAGAACCAATATTTACCGAAATTGTCGATGCTTGCCTAAAAGTTGTACAGCCTCCAGAAAATGATGAATAATAAAATGATTGTTTCTATGTCTTTGTTTACATAATTATTACCCTTTTTCCAACTTTGATATTAGAAAATATTCTAAAGCAACACTTGAATTTTTAAACAATGTTTTAGTACCTAATTAAACAGTTCAGATTAATTTTGGTACTTGATATAGGACATGAATGTCATCAATAATATTTCTCAAATATTAGGAAATTCATATTAACACCGTTAAGCATTTAAGATGATTACCAAGGTTTTTGAATTTCAATTGTAAATTATAGCAATGGTTCCAAAATCCAAACTGCACAAACACTAATTACATGATAAGGTTACTAAAATGTAAAATAATACCATTTCATGGAAATATAATCTATTTAATCAACAATATTTTAAATTACAAAAATATGACATCACAAAAAGTACATGCATCAATACAATTTATACTTTACACATCAGACAAAGCAAGCCTTAGCAAGTTCTCAAGTTCCATAGACTTTTTCCTTTCATCCTCAATTTGTTGTTCTAACTGTTTAACAGCTTCAGAACAATTATTGTACCTAGAAATACTTTCATCAGTAGCTTTAATATTTTCTTCTACTATTGTACTATCTTTATCTTCTAACATCAAATACTCCATTGAATCCACAGCAATCTTCCGTCGTTTAGCTTCAATCAACAGATCAATATCATCATCGCTTTCTTCAGGTTTGTGTTTCAGGTTCGCAATAATATCTATGCTGTGCAGCCAATGAGAGTTGCGATAGTCATCTAGTGTTGATCTATCATATATGGCGTATCGGTTTTCAAAAGTATTAAGTCCATTTATTTTTTCGTACACTATAATATTTAAGATATCTATGAGATCATAATGGGCAAAGAGCATATTGAACTGGTCACGAGGCATGGCGAGGTCTGCGAACTGATTTGGCAACAGCGCCACGACTTTACACACTACTTGCTCTGGGTTCTCGAACCAACCAATCTGGTTGCAATATTTACGGATTTCCTGCTGCATATTGCACACACTTGTAGGATAAAACTGGGACGAGGGATAAGGCAATTTTAGCCGATTCATCAAGTTTCTGATTGCCGTAACATTTTCCGAGGTCTTGGCGCTACTGGGAATGAATTCGTAGGGCTTTGGATATGGAGAATTTTCATCTAAGTAAACTTTGAATTCCAGCGGAAACGAGGAATAATTAAACAAATCTTCATTTGTAATTAAAGCTGTCAACTTATCTACAGCTATGTTATAGCACTGGACTAGTTTTTGTAGATCTCTGAGAATCATTTTGACACGACCATCACTCTCCGTTTTCAAACGGCACCATATTTCATTTCCCAGATATCTCTGGCAAATAGACTTCAGAAAGTCTATTTCGAGAGGTGGGTTTGGTGGGTACTTCTTAGCCAGCCATTTCATGGCTGACTTAGTTGCTATATTTAATGACTCCGAGATATTTGTATGATCTATTACAAATATTTTAAATGCAGATATGACATTGTTTTGGATTAGGCGTGTCAGCGACGATTCAAGTACATTGTATTCACGCATTTCCTCTAATTTTGGCATAATAATAGCAACTGGCACAATCTGATATGGATGCTTGTTTTTCAATGTAACTTCTACTTTTTCTGAAAAATTACTAAACTGAAAATCTTTTTCTGTAGCATAGAACAACAGGCCGTTAGTACCTTCAATAGCTTCAGTACTACAGTTATTTTTCTCAGTGTTTATCAAGCTAACTGAAATAGCGAAATCCATCAAATTATTCCACGATTGTTTCCCAACTTGCACCAGATTATCTGAGGCATGTTTCTTTTTATCACTAAACGCATCTAACAACCACTTTTCGATTTCAACTTTTTTGTAAAGCCATTTCATAGCACCAGGTGATACTAATGTAAGTTTCCAAAAGAAACATTTATCGTATGGGTAATTGATTTGTTTCATACGCTTTAATAAAGGTGATTTTATGATCTCCATTAAGTTAAATGGTTCTGGTGGAGGCAGTTGCTTTAGTTCTCCAGAGAACTTGTAGCCCCTGTGAATTGAGTTCATGTTTTTAAGAGCAGCATTTTCTACAAATCGGCGAAGACTTTGCGCTTCTTCCAGAGGAGTCCTGTCAGTTAACCATACAGGCGTGTCCTCCAGAAGACTTCTTCTTTTAAGATTAATCCTCAGTTGTTTCCGCCATACGTGAAACCATTTCTTCATTAGTTTATCAGTCCAAAACTTTTCAGCTTTCATTTCCGAATGGCACATTTCATCACACAAATTCGATAATACTTCTTCAGTTACATCATCAGCATAAGACATTAAGTTATCAAACTTTTCTTTCTCTTCTTTCATTACGACTGATATAGTTTCATCATTAATTTCGTTGATCAATTCATTTGTGACTTCTGATGATTCCTTTTCCACTCTTTCTTTAAATTTGCGTTCTTCCTCTAATCTCTTCAATTCAGCTTTCTTTTCCTCTTCAATCTTTCTTCGAAGTTCTTCTTGCTTCCTCCGTTCTTCTTCCTTTCTGCGTTTCTCTTCGAGCTGTCTCTGTTCTTCTTGTTTCCGTCGCATTTCTTCTTTACGCCTCTCTTCCTCTTTCCGCCTCTCCTCCTCTTTTCGCCTTTCTTCTTCTTTTCGCCTTACTTCCTCTTGCCGTTTAATTGCTTCAATTCTCTCCTCTTCTTGTTTTCTGAGTTGTTCTTGAATCATCATTTCGGCCTCTTTTAATCTCTTATCGTTTTCTATTTGCTGTTGGTCACCTTGACCTTCATCTTCTTTAAAATCATAAACCGAGCTTTGTTCATTTGCATTTGCAACTGATTGAAATATATTAGCTGCCACTGATGGGCCTTTATTTTTGGTTGGGAATATAGAATAATCTGTTGTACCATTTTGGGTACTTAATGCACTCTTGAATAAACTGCCTGGCGACAATTTGTTATTGGGCACATCACCGTTAGTTGAGAATAAAGATTTTTTCATACCAAAACCATCCGAACTGGAAAAAATATTTTTGTCGGCAGCCATAAACGTGTTAGATTTGGCGACACTTTTGAAAATATTTTTTGGATCATTTTCAGACTCCTTATTTGCAAATGGTTTTCCGAAAATATTAGTATTGTTAGATTCCACCGTGCTGTCTGGTTGGTCAAATGGAATGCTGTCTTTTGCTTTGGCAAAAATGCTTTCTGCAGACTTATTTTGTTTCGGTAATTGTCCAAACACAGACTTAGCATTTTCTGGTTGCTTAAATATATTAGATGCATCAGACTTGCTTTCTGGTACTTTAAATACATTTTGACTAATCTTGAATGGATTATTGTTATCTTTGACTGCATCACTTTTAGCAAAAAGAGATTTATTTTCAACCTTTTGTTCGAATACACTGCGCCCTTCTGGCGGTTTAAATAGATTAGCAGAATTATTGCTTGAAAATAAACCAGAACCTGCAGACTCTTGAGGCTTTGAAAATGAGAATACATTTTTTGCATTATTCTGAAATATCTTTTCCGGTGAATTCTTGATTATGTCCGTAGACGCAACAGGTATTGCAGGCTTGAATGAGAATACTTTAGGCGGAGATTTAACTTCTGCAGGAGCAATAAATGTACTCAAAGATTTACCAGGACTCAACGTCTTAGATTCTGGTTTAATAAATAGGTGCACTTTAGTTGGCTGTTCTGTATTCATCTCGCCTTTTCTGGTTTGAGATAGTCTTCTGATTTCTTCCTTTAAAGAATTGATATCTTTGTTGCTATCGTTCATAGTATTATAACCTTGTTCTTCAGCAAGCAACGCGGATTCTTTTAATTTGCCATCTCTTGTAAAACTTGTGTATAGGACATGGTTTTTGTAGTCTGCACTCGGGAGTTGACCGCCAGCAATAACTTCTCCCACCTTGCAGTTCCTTTTGGACTCGATCAGCGATATGGCTCTCGACATAGGATATGGATCGCTATCTTCTATGAAATGGTTTCTGTTTAGAAGTATCGAAAGTTCCTCATCGCGAGAGAAACTTAATCCGTAATGGTTTATGAAACATTTCATGCTCTCGACAGATTCGAAAGCCAGCGCGTTCATCATGTCTTCAGCGGGGTATTTCGAGGTGCCTCGCGGGGCGTACGCTTTGACTATCCTTGCGAGAGCCCTAGCCCGTACATCGTTGAAATATCTCAACAAAATGCAAGCTTGTAAGTAGGTGGCCTTTTCATGGACGAGCCGGAAAAATCTGACATAGTTATTGTTGTCAATAGCATTGAACACTTGCGTGGCAAACGCTAACGGCTCCGACTTCTGGATGTGGCGAGGCAGCTGTTTGATCTGTAAAGAAAACATTGAATTTGTAAGAAGTTTGATTGTTGTTGTTTGTATCTTAATCTAGCTAGACAGTAGCTAAAATATAGTCTGCAAATGATTTCAAATTCCGCAGGAGGTACATTGTCATTGTACATTGTGAGTGAAATAAACAAGGTGGCAAATGATGAAACTAACATTATAAGTTATTACTGACCTCCCACCAGAAATTCGCATCGCCCAAGTTAAGCAGCGCGATATATCCTCTGAACTCGGCTTCATTAGGCTTGCTTTCAGGACCCACGTCGGCATACATATGTTTGAGTGTCTGCAGACACTTGGTTAAGTTGTCGGTGTTCAGTTTCTGGTCGAACTGCGTGTGCTCCAAGTCTGCCAGGCTGGCGGCGCAGTGCGCGTGGAAACGCGCACACATCTCCACCAGGTTTATTGATACTGGAAATCAGTTTTAATACACTATTAAAATAGGGATTATTTTTGCAGAATAATGTTAATTTTTATGAGCCGACAAAATTCGAAGTAAAATATGTACATTTAATCATTTTATTGCAAATTGTGTTCGTTATTTACCTGCACAACACAATGCCTGTTGAGTGATATCCTTCCGAATCCCTCGAAACCGATCCCACATGAAATGAAACCAATCGGCCAGTGACACCTGAAACAATATTTTTATTTAGCAACATCATAGAACACATAACGCACTTGTAGATTAGTGTCAGCGATCTCGTGCAGAAGCGCACGTGCGTGCTAGTACGGACGCAGGGCGCAGTTTGAAAACATGAGAATCTCCTGGTCCACACATTTCCAGAATAAAGAAGACTCACGCACCTGCCGCTTAGTATCAGCGATCTCGTGCAGAAGGTAAGCGCACGTGCGTGCTAGTACGGACGCGGGACGTAGCTCGTAGCACATGGGGATCTCCTGGTCGGCCGAGCTGCGGCTGTATTGCTTCACGGCGCGCCAGGCCTCCAGCTGCCCGTCTGAGTCTACCACGGTTTCTAGGGTCATGACCTGGGGAAAGAAAGAAATAGATGGCATCAGATCAGAGAAATGTGGCAATGGTAGAAGATAAGGGAGAAACTATGATTGCATGATCAATAGACTATTTATGTAGGACAGACCCTGACAGACCAAAATTATGTTAGTTTTAACTAACATACAGCTTATGCATAGTTTTACGAAAAAGCTTCTTCACATGTCACGATTAACATCTTTATTTTGTATTCACAAACATCGCATATTTGGACTAAACTTGGACTTTACCTGGCGTTCAGCTTGTCTGTGTAGCAATTCCTTCTCTGGACACATGTCCTGACATGTCCCGATAGTAGCGCCGCCTACTTTAACGCGAGAACCAGCGCCGCCCCATCCTCTCAAAATTCTATAAAAAAAATATCACTGTATTTAAAAACAATAAATTGTTTTCTAATGAAATGGCACATCATTGATGTTCAACGGCACTTCAGTTTCTTTACAAATGAAATATTTTACTAATAAATAGCTGAGTTTTACAGATAAATCAGTAATTAATACATTAAAATGAAGTCATGAAATTACTAACCTGTCCCTAGCTTCCAACGTCCGCCATTGATCGTCTGGGGTTAATGAGACTCGGGACCTCAACTGATGCAGTTCAGATGCCGCTTCCAAAGTGCTTAGGCTGCTCTGAACGGAAGGCATTGGGATGGGTGACTCGGTCCCACTAGCTGGTTGCATCCTGTCATAAAAATAATGTGTCAATTATCTTTATCAAATAATTTTTGTCCTGTTCCATTTGTGGCCGTCAAGTTTGGCCTGACGTCTGTGATATGATGTTAGTTTGATAAAAATAATACTTACATGGATGGATGCTTTTTCACAACTGGAATCTTCGGTGTTGTTTTAGGTGATCTCATGACTATTTTGGGCTTGATTGCACCTGATAAAATAATTATTTTTGGTTAACAAAACATTGCAAAAACTAAGAACCTGATATACTGATTTTGAATAAAATATTATGTATTTTACTTTGCTTCCTCAATTCGTATGTTGGAGCTCCACCCATTGCTGACAATTCTTCCTCCACTTCAGAATCGGGAACCCAATCTGGATCGTCATCCTTCTTAACACTCTTTCTTCTCCTGTAATAAGGGAATTTATTACCATTTCAAATAGACATTGTAAGAATAATCATAGCATTAATGTTAGTAAAAAGTACGTACACTCTGACTTTTGTGCGTGTGACATCAAACATAAACCCATCGAAGGCTCCGGCATTAAGCACTGCTCGTTCCGCAGCACTAGGCTGGTCATACTCAACCATACACATTTGCCTCTTCGGAAATAGTCGGATTTGCTGCACACGGCCAAATTTAAGGAAGTGCTTTTTTGCTGCACTTGTTTCGAACAATCCTTCAGGGACATTGGTACACCTAGAATGTAGATTGATAGATATTTACAAACTCTTTCAAAGAACGAAACATGGATACGTAGTTAGACGCTTTTCTATCCAGAATATGCTCATTACAACGCAGAATTGGTCAAAAGAGATCGAATTTCAATAGAACAGCCATAAATAGGGGGTAAACTTGATCACAAGATTTTTGAATTACTGAACAACACTCACGTCACCGATGTTTTGGAGTTTACATTTTCTGCAGCCGGGCTCTTCAACTTTTTCCGAGGGCTTTTTGCCAGCTCCATCGTTGAGCTGATGTTGTGATGGAAATAGGAATTACGACGTTCACAAGCACCAAACAAACATCACGAGGTCAAATGCACAAGATTATAGGAGGTTATTACTAATTTACATCATAAAGAGATTATTTAAGTACTGATTAAGCGAAGCACTGGAAAATGAAAACAGACTTAATTTTGTACTAGGAACGAATAATCACCACAAAACTATGATCGTGGTTTTTTTCAGAAGCCATCGATTGCAACAATTTTGACAATTCTCGACTCCAGGACAATGGGAATCATAGAGAAAAGTAATACCATAGGAATGACATTAATGACAGTTGGCAGTTTAAATGTCTTCTTCTTCTTCTTTTATTGATGGCGATGAACTTGTGCTTTTTCGCCACTGTTCCGCAACAATCATAATCATTTCAATCAACCTCAGTCCAGTATTAAAACATTTAAATAATTTTTGTTTTAACCACTGTTATAAACTTATGAACTTATTATCTTGTACTAAATTAATAAAATTTCAAATGGCTTTATAAAAAAAATATTTCATCTTTTTTATATATAGCCTGACCAGGAACATAAAAACCCTCGCCATGTTGCGGAAAACTAATGGTACTAATTTCTTTTAATGGCAACAGTAACTGAAAACTTCATTGACATGTCACCTTGCATGCCAGTCTATTGTTGTCAAAGTGTAAACAAACTTTATTTTAAATGTGTGCAATTGATTTTGTGAATTAAATTGCTAAAATATTTTTATAGTCGTGAAAGAAAAGTGGTTCACGATGTGTTAATGTATTTGTCGAAGAGAAATACTAAGGGTTGGGACAATATTTTCATTGAATAATGTTTCCGACAAACGTTGTCAAATTGACTGACATGTTTATCGTATGGTACAGTCCACTATGAAAATTAGCTGTAGTCTGTTTCAACTACATATTTTAAAGTTTTTTGTCACTTTCTAAGTTTTGAATTGTATGCAATTGGGAAAGAAGTACCGAGTTTGAAGCGTTCATGAGCAGACATTGCAGTTGAATATTCATGTTCTGAATTTGATTATTGATGAATAATAAAATAAATCCTACTAGCTCGATTGATGGTTTCATTTAATTTATTTAAACCAGGTTATCTTTAATAATATTTTTCGTTAATTTATGAAAATATCAAATTAGCCCGTAATCCTGAATCCTGATACATAAATTTAGCCTATTAATTTAACACATGTACGACTGTACTCAGTGTTGCACTATCAAATGCAATTGAAGCGCCTCTGTGCCAGGGTTTTTATGTTCCTGGTCAGGCTATATTTTTTGTCACTTTCTAAGTTTTGAATTTTATGGAATTGGGAAAGAAGTACCGAGTTTGAAGCGTTCATGAGCAGACATTGCAGTTGAATATTCATGTTCTGAATTTGATTATTGATGAATAATAAAATAAATCCTACTAGCTCGATTGATGGTTTCATTTAATTTATTTAAACCAGGTTATCTTTAATAATATTTTTCGTTAATTTATGAAAATATCAAATTAGCCCGTAATCCTGAATCCTGATACATAAATTTAGCCTATTAATTTAACACATGTACGACTGTACTCAGTGTTGCACTATCAAATGCAATTGAAGCGCCTCTGTGCCAGGGTTTTTATGTTCCTGGTCAGGCTATAAAAAAGAAGAAAAGAAAGGAACTTCCGTTTCGGAACGTATGAAACATGAAGCTACAGATAAAAATGGAGGGCAGAGTTTGGAACAAAAACTTGAGTCAAATACCTACTTATATCTATCTCGCTCTCTGCGGCCCTACCTCTCTTTTTAGTGTGAACTGTAGTATTGCTATCTTCTGATTTAAATCTCCTTGTAAATTCTTCGAAATAGCCAATTCACTAACCAAATCAGAAGTTAAACAAATAAATAATTAATATTTGAAACTAAGATTACCTACTTAAATAAAAAATCACAAAATTGTCGGCCATTTAGGCTTAATGTGTTGGCGAATCAGGGAATTACAATCCCAATTCCTGGGTAATCGGTACCATGTGGCAACATCGGCCCAATCCGGCCCATCATGGCGGTTGTTTACTATTTTGTTTATTAAGCAGTTAATTTCGTTTGAGATTGTTTACAGGAAATAATCATTGTTTTATCACAAGAATTGGTGCAAAATTTTGTAGTGCGTGGTTGCGGTAGTATGTGCTGTCCTGGAAGTGACATAAGATTCCACGCGTAAGTGTTTATTTCGTGATTTCCGACATTGGATCATTGTAAACATTTTTCACATTTTTTACAGTAATTTCTTCCTAAAACGTTTTACCAGTAATTACACTTATCATTTTTAATGATACCTATGTCAAGAAATAAAGATTTTACATTGGTTTCATTGAATTTGAGCAATTTTATATTTTTTGTTTTATTTAGAAAGAGCAAGTCTGCCCACAGAGAGCGAGATACTGATACTTAGTTTGTGCTTCAAGTAGGTATTGGGAGTCTGGCCTCCATTTTTATCTGTAGCTTCATGGTATGAAACATTTTTTTATTTGCTTTGTTGGCAATAGGAATCTTTTATTCATCTTAGAAAATTTGGAATGAAAAATATTTATTCAGTTAGGAGAAGGGATGGCATTATTATAATAAGAAATCTTTTCATATTTTCTAGTGGCCACATTATTAAACAAAATTAAGAATTTGTAAGAAAACCATAATGATAATTTTCCTTCGAAAAGGTATTTAACTTTAAGGAGAAATAAAATATTTATCTTGTATCCTCTCTCTACTAAGGTCTCTACTGAGCATTTCTTTAACATTTCTAGTATCCTAAGATCTCGTAGTACTTAGATTAATCAGGTCTACAATTTATAGGATGTGTGATGTAGGGTAGATTAAAGCTTCGAATGCTTTAAAATATAGTCACTACGACTTTAGTCCAGTCAATAGGTAAAGCATTATAGATGGAAATCCATGGAACACAATTTTTGACTTCGAGACTTTATTTAGACTAGTTAGGAGGTGAACATAGCAAAAGTCCCCGCCCTTAGCCCTTGAGCCGGCCAGGGAGAGGGGGGTTTAAAGGTACCACTTTTCGGTTTTTCGCTTCATCCTCGGAAACTATGCATCCTAGTGACATGACTACTATGAACCGAAAAAAGCTTATTCAATTTGCTACAGGTGAGATATTAAAGTTTTTCTATATCTTGTATAGTTTTCGCGGCATCTGCTCTAGAAGGTCTGTAATATTGGAAATTTTATTTTTGTCCTACATGTTCCCATCAGGAGAAAATCGACTTAATCAACATTGAACAAACATTCTAGACATGCGGGAGCATGTTAAGCCTAGTTCCAGGGAGGGGACTGCACCGTGCGTATATTTAGACGAACCACTTGCAGCCACATTTGACTCCTCATAACTCGAAAACTACTGTGCGTTAACACTTCAAATTTGGCTCATGTGTTGAGACTTACGAGATAAACATCAGCTTCAAATTTCATTAATATACCTCAAACGGTTCTTTAGGTATTGACGTCCAAAGGCTCAAGGGCTAAGGGCGGGGACTTTTGCTATGTTCACCTTCTAACTAGTCTATGTAAAGTCCCGAGGTCAGAAATTGTGTTCCACGGATTTCTCTCTACACACCGTCGTTAAGGCATTCATTGACTGGACTACTTAGTATGTTATGTAAGTAATAACCCGATTGTGCCCGATAACAATCAGCATTCCATAATATTATTGGAACCCCGATCCACTCTACCCCTAAATATCGCCATATTCATTTATGGTTTTCTCAGGACTTCAGACCTTAAGCCTCGTAGGTACCGTTAAGGTACCAAGATATTATTATGCTCCGGTTACCAGCCAACTAGATCTCCTAAAAGCCTATATGGGTCAGTAAGAGCTAGAAGACGGCAATAGGCCATAGTAACAATTAAAAAAAGCAAATGCCGATGACGACAATCTGGCTGCGCCCGCGATGATGTAAGCCGCAGCCGCCCAGTTCCGGCAGTACTTGCCGGATGTGCGTGTCACTTTCTAACGCACTTTAGTCACTTCACATTTGAACATCCGTAAGGCTAATGTCTTATGTGAATCAGGTTGATCGAATCTTCGTGATGAATGGTCTAAGAAGCTGTACCTAATCATCACGTACCAGTTGATTGTTAAGCAATAAGTTTTTAAGCTGTGGGTTCCTGCAAATTTTTCGTAGCACTACCTACAGTAGCAGGTAGGTATAGCCTATTGTTTCGGAGAGTTCCATCTGCATAATTTTTTTAACAAATAGGTTAGGCACTGCTGAATCAGCAGCCCGACATCAGATGTCGACGATGTCGTCATCAGCAGCAGCTTAAAGAATTCTGTAAAAAGTAATGATGATACAAAAGCTCTAATCGTGAGTGACGCTACTTAATGTTTTGTGGTGAAGCCTTCAGTCTGGTCTGTGGTCTGGTCCATTGCACAAAACCATATTCAAGACTTTAGTCCCTGCCAAAGAGAGAATATTGTTAAACATGATCTGTAATACGAACTTGAGATTACTAACGATGAACGCTTTTCCACGTAGTTATTTATTTCCTGTTCTTTCCTCGCAGTAAGTGTAAAGATTTTTACTGTTTATTGCCCGTAAAACGGTTGAGTTAGCAATAAGCAAACTACAAGACTATTTAAGCAGATTGGTCTCTTCGATCCCGTGACATTGGCGACTAGTTTATTTCATGGCTGTATGTAAATCTTAGGAGCGGGTGGCATCGGTGAATCACGCGTGACGTCACCGCTATAAATTTGGGTGTCGCATTCCGGTCGCGAGCGCGGTTATATAAAAGAAAGTGGCGCGGCCGCGGCGCGACCTTGCTCGGTGAAAGGCGTGTCGCAAGTGGCACAGCCGGAACTGCCTCTTCCCACGGCGAGAGATCCCGCGCCTCTCGCCTGTAGGGTTGCCAAGCGAAAAGGCAATACTGCCTGGCTCTACCCAAAAAGATGACTTTATTTCTGTAGGAGGTCGATTAGGTATCTGGTAGGTACTTTGTAGCCCAGAGCGCTGACTGGGGTACATGTAAGTATCTATCTTCAAAGGGCATATTTGTACCTATACTTAGTGGAATATCATCTCATCATCTTCTTGCCTGAAACTACATATTATGTTTCTTCTGGCGTAACTGTTCTACTAAGTAGCTGGAAAAGGAAGTTTTAGCCCTAGGAAGTCTGTTCCAATGTAAATAGCTATGGAGACATGGTAAAATCAGAAAGTGTATGCACTGTTCGCTAGTTAATATGCGTCATCTTCAACAGATT